CTCCTCCTCCTACTCCTCCTCCTCCTGCTCCTCCTCCTCCTCCTCCTACTCCTCCTCCTGCTCCTCCTGCTCCTCCTCCCCATTCTCAGCTCCATCATCCAGAACGAATCTCTATTTACGTCTGAGATCATGGACTCCTAAATATAAACCTGACAGATCCCAAGCCTATAATTAATTTCCTCGATTCATTTTAAAAGTTGGCAGGATTCTTATTTTAAGGAGTTGAATGGGTCTGGCCCAGGAAGTGCTCTCCACAAGGAAGGTGCTCCAGGCACGGGGGTGAGGTCGGGCTCCGAGGGGCCCAGGGTGCAGGGCCTGGCTTGGCCCTGGAGACGGTGCCAGGGCTTCCCGAGGGCAGCCAGGCCCCAGGCTGGAGCAACCCTGACACAGGGTGGGCAGGAGGACATGGATGTGCCCAGGACTCATTACCTAAAGGGCCACAGGTGTGCCGCGAGGCGGGACCCGGTGGGGGGCAGGAGACAGGTCGGGGTCCTGTGGTCTGGTGTGCACAGGAAATGCCCCAGCAATCCACTTCCTGGCACCGGGTGCCCGTGAAAGAGGCTGACAGAGAGTGACCTGGGCACCCATCTAACATTTCGGCAGGGATAAAACTGCAGCCATGGAGGACATGGTAGTGGCTGTGGGGTTGGGCTGGGAGCTATGATCACAGAGGTCGCTGGGGAGTGAGTCCTCTGTATACCAGACAATGGCGGCGTTACCAGGACTGAGCTCACAAATGTGGCTGGCGGCCCCTGGGCGGAACACTGCCCACAGCCCTGGGCACCCGTCCTTGGGGGCTCGTGGCGGGGTTCACAGGACGCTCTGGCTATGTCTAAAGTCATTTCAAAATAAAAAGGATCGAAGAGTTAAATGAGTTTTAAGCTACCAAACAAGGGCCAGTGCTTTGCAGAAACGGCGGAAACCACAAGGCTGGTGCAGGGCCACCAGTCTCGGCCCCGGAAGAAGGTGCTGGCAAGGCCCTGTGTGCAGGCTGCATGGTCCATCTGTCCCACCTGGGCCTCAGGCCCAGAGGAGGCGGCCCAGGTGTGCTCAGGGGCCACAATGGGGGAGTGTGAGCAAACCTGCCATAGCCAGCGGTGGCGGCAGTATAGAGGGCTAGTGTGGACAGTCGTGAGACAGAGCTGAGCCTGTAGCATGGCAGCCTGAGCAGGGGGTGGCAGAGGAGCCATCAGAGCTGCCCCACGAAGGGTCTGCTCAGGGGAGCTATGGAATCTCATCTGAGAGAGGCAGGGAACCCATGCTGGCCTGAGCTGGGAGAGAGGGAGCTGCCCAATGGGACACCTGGGCTCCAGAGATGCAGGGTACCATGGAGCCAGCCTGTTACAGCTCCTGTCTAGACGTCCCCCCAAAGCCTCATGTGCTCTTAGGTGGGGGTTTTCAGAACTGGCTGGATCTAGGGTGTGATGCTGGGATTAAGGGTGTGTGGTACTAAATTAGTCCACAGACCAGAATTAGCACAGCTCTACGTGTGACTGAATGGATTTACTGAAGACAGAAACCCCAACCTGGGTGTGAATGGCACCACCCAAAAGGCTTGTAGCTTGGATGGGATAAAGGGAAGACAGGCTCACAGATGCTGCTGCTGCTCACTGCTTCCTCCCCACCCTGCCATGGACTGTTTCTTCTCTGAGATATCCCTCTGCCAGGCTGCCCTACCTGGGAGCCAGCCAGCTACGGACTGAAACTTCTACAAACTGTGAGCTGAAATAAACCTTGCCTCCCTTAACTTGTGGTTGATGGGTATTTTGTCCTAGCAATCAGAAAAGGAACTAAGACACAGCCAGAGCCATGCCCCTCAAGCCCCTGTGTTGCAAGTGTTTATGCTCCAGGTTTCAACCAGGAGTCCTGCAGCATCCAGAATCCTCTTTCCTTTCGGAAGAAGCCTGGTCCCCTAAGCAGTGGGCACTCGGGGTGAGGCCAGGATGCAGGTGAGCCACCTGAGGACGGGGTAGGGTGGTAGAATCACCTGAGTGTGTGCAGCGTACCCCACAGGGCTGTCACTGCTGTCCACCTGAAGCATGCCAGATCATCCTGCTGAGGGCATGAGATGACCCTGGCGAGGGTGGGGAGTGAATGGGTCCTGCAAGGAGCTGAGCTCCTGCACGGGGCAGGACTGTGCCACCCCCCCCCTTCCACAACCAGGTCTCTGGAGAGGCAAGGAGTCTTGGTTTCCGTGGAAAATCTCTCTTCCCAATGCTGGCAAGGGCTTCAGGCACTCCTGCTCAGCCTGACCATGTCTAGAGATGGCTGGGCCCCCTGCAGGTGCAGCCAGGCTGGATGGCCCTGTGCCATTCCCCCACATGCTAGACAGCCCTCCTGGCATCCTGGGGCCCGGGACTCCGTCATTCACCACCCTTTGAGATGGAGACACATGGCCAGGGAGGTGAACATTGACTTCCAGCATGGTGGCCCAGGTTGTTGGCCTGGCTCAGGAACGGTTCTGGCTGCTCTCAGATGAGACCGTGCAGGCTGCCTAGCATCTTCAGGGTGAGCAGGTGTTCAGTGAAGGTAAAAGTATCCAGACCTGCAAGTGGGCTCACGGACCTGCCTGTGCCTGGGGCCTGGCTGCTAAGCCGACTGCCGGTGGGTCACTGGGCAGGTGTGTGGTCACCTGGGTGTGTCCATGGCCTGGGAAGTGGCCACCTGGGGGGGGGGGGCTGTCCCCGAGCTTCGAGGCTGTGCTGGCCATGGCGGGCACACAGGGTTCCGCCCTCACGCGGGGGCTGCAACGGGGCCACGCCTTCCCCAAGGCTCCCAGGCTCCTCCAGAGGCCCCAGCGCGGGCAGGCGCGGGAGGTAATGGCTGGAGACTGACACCTGCTGCAGGGTGCTATGGGGGAGGTGGCACAAACACCCGTGGGGCCCTGGAGGGCCAGCCAGGGGGCGCACAGATGCTCCGGGCAGGGGTGGGGTGCAGACTGGCTTGGGTGGAAGATGCCATCCCAGAGGTCGGAGCCCGGGCCCAGCTCCCTGCGGGACTCTCCTTGGCACCCCGAGTCCTACTGTGGGTCTGCGGGCCGGTGCTGTGGTATCTGCGCCTGGATTGTCGGACGGCAAGGTGAGCAGCAGGAGGAGAGCCTCACCTGTGGTTTTAGGGTCACATCTGATCACAGCCATCGCTGCCTGGTGCACGGGGTTTCGTGACATACGTGACGAGGGCCATGCGGGGGGCCCTGAACCCCTCACCACAGGGCGGGGCGGGGCCTGGCCTCAGCGCACTCCAACTACTGGGGCATGAGGGGCTTCGGCCTCCTGCTTCCTGAGCCCTTCTGAGACACCATGACAGGTCGCCTACCCGGCCGGGCCTCAGTGTCCCCCGGCCACCATGAGGGGAGCAAGAATCCCCTCGATCTCCAAGATGCCATCTCCATCCATGCGTCCTGGGTCGGGATCCCCTTCCTCCTGAGCTCTGTCTACGCCAAGCTCCCGCTGGGCTCCGCCTGTTTAACTCCTGAGACCCCCACCTCGCTGAGCCCATGCTGGCCTGGAGCCCGGGGTCCCTGCTCACCCTGCATGCCGACCCCTCCCTCGTCAGAAGGTAGAGCCGGACCTGGCCCTGGGTTTGTCACAGCATCCCGCAACCCTGCACCTCCCCGCCTGGCAAGGGTGCCTCAGGACGCTCCCTCCAAGGTCCTCTCCGGGCGACACCGGGATGTGCCCTGCTTTCCGCTGGACGTTCATTCCCATTCGTATCTCTGGGTCAGCACTTCCAGGTTTGGAATGGGGTTGGGGTTCAGGTACTAAGGCCTGAGTGTCGCAGGGTCGATCCACACACACCCCTCCTTCCCTGGGGTCCCATACCAGCTGCCTGGCTGTGCAGGCCCTCAGGGCCAGAGGTCTGATCCAGCCGGGCCCAGCTCAGCAGGGTGGGTCCCTCCTCTGCATTCCCATCAGACTCAGTGCCCTACCCATGGGTCCCCAGCCCGGGGGTGGACAGCAAGGCCTGAGATAACCTAGGTCCTCTCTGCCCGTGAAAGGAGCTCACTGGGGGCCAGCAGGAGGGGCGGGAAGGCACAGGGGTCCCTGTGAGCTCGATGACAGAGCCACCCAGGGGAGGCGCTTTCTCTTCCCTGTGGCCATCTAGACTCATGGGACCGGCCGGGTGGCAACAGTGAAACAGAAATGGAAAACCACGTGCACTGGCCTGGCTTGGCGTTCCAGAGCGCTGGGCACAGAAACGCCGGCCCTGGGCTCACTGGGCGAGGACCCAGACCCCCCGCGTCAGAAAGCAGCAGGAGTCAGAGCTTGAGGAGCCTGCGTGGGGAACAGAGCTGCCACATGGGAGAGCACAACCGGGCACCGGGCACTCACAGTACCTGCATGCTGTGCAGGGTGCTCGGGATGGGCAAGCAGCACACAGCACAGGAAGAGGCGGTGAGCAGAGGGCGTCTGGGCACCACGCTGCCTTCGCAGTGTCACCACCAGGACCTCGGTTCAGATGCTCACTGATAACTCGGACATGGGCCACGGTGGCCACAGAAAGGACCCAGGCCACCAGGCTGGGGCTCCAGGGGGACTGGAGGGAAGGGACCCATCCCCAGCCAGAGTGGAGTCTGGCAGGGAGCCGAGTCCCTTCCTGGGCTCAGCAGGCAGGGGCCAGGTCCTCTGCCTGCTGCCCAGCATGGCCACAGGCGCCTGGGAGCTGCTGGGTGCTTTCTGGAACTGGCTTCAGCATAGGGTGGTAATGATGGCCCTCCTGAGGGGGGCAGATCTGGAAAGGCCTCACTGGGGAGGCACACTCTGCTCCCTGGGTGGCCTGCCCCTCGGGATGGACAGGACAGGCCATCCAACAGAGGGCAGCCAGACCCATATCCAGAGGGCTCGGAGGGGCCTCACTGGGCTCCCCTCAGGGTCACTTCCAGCCCTGTCTCGGAGGGTGGAACTGGTGCACACAGGGTGCAGGGCAGAGCCTGGGGGTGGCCACAAGAGGTCAGCTGCTCTTTGCCTGCCCGCAGTGCCAAAGGAAGCTGACAGGGGACAGACAGCAGGGACAGGACTGGCCACGCTCAAGCGCCACTCATGGGACAGATGAGGTAGCTGCTGCCTTCCAATCCTCACCACTGGGCCACTGAGGCTGCCTCTGGGACTGAGGGCCAGGCCCATGGGGATGCCCCTGAACACACAGGGTGGCATTGCCACCAGGTCCTAGGCCCGCCCTCCTCTGACCCACGTCTCCTGGGCTCGGAGCCACCCCTGACACGTGCTCCTAGCGATCTGCCAGGAGACAGGACACCCACGGGACGGGACACCCTGAGCCAGCGAGAACCAAGCCCACGTGACGCAGTGCTGACCACCGTGTGGCCTGGAGAATAAGCCAGCCCTGTGCCTCAGTGACCCAGGCTCCGGTAAGAGAAGTGTCCCGAGCACGGGTCCCAGGGCACAGTCAGCACCTGACCAAGGCTGCCTGGATCTGCCCCTCACCGCCCCCGCCTGGAAGGAGGGGCTCCGCTCACCTCTAGCAGCTGCACGGCCCCCTCGTGCTCCTTCTTGGCTTCAGCCTGAGCCTGTGGGTGGTGGAGACAGAGAGGTGTCAGGGCACAGCGACAGCATAGGTCCTGCCCCCACCGGCCCAAGGTCTGCACTGGGGCCGTGAGGTGGGGTGGACTCGGTGGGGCAGCACCTTGGGGGGCATGAAGAGAGGGAAGGCTCCCGGGCTTAGCTGGCGGGGGCTCCTGGCCTGCTTCTGAGCACGGTCCCCAGGGTCCTTGGGGACAGATGGACGCTGGCTGAACCCAGAGCAGCAGGCAGATTCTGCCAGGGCCTTGAGCAGCAGCGCCACCGCCCCAAACATCCCCACTGCCGCAAAGCAAGACGCCAGCCTGCAATGCCCCCAAGACTCCCCAGAGTCCCGGCCCAGAGGTCTCACACCTCCCCCCAGTAACCAAGGCAACCTGCAACCGCGGACTGGCGGCAGAACCATCTTCCCGCAGAGGAGAAATCTTACAAGGCTTCACAGCCTGGACAGAGCACAATGCACACAAAACTGAAATGCGGCACAGTGACTCCCCGTCCCTGGACCCCTGACCGGGACCTGGGTGGGCACTGGCGCGTCCAGAGGCCCTGGCCTGCAGAGTAGGAGGGAGGGAGGCCCCTTTCCCTCCAGACTCAGCCTGAGAGAGGCGGGGCTGGGGGGCCAGCACCCTCCCTGAGAAAGCAGCCAGCCCAGGGGAGGCTGGCGAGAGGTGGCTTCTGCTGGCCCTGGGACGCAGCTGAGCGTGAAGCCAGCTGGCAGGGCCCTGGGTCCAGCCGTATCTCAAGCAGCATCTCCAGTTATGTGTGCCAACACGACTTTCTTGTGGGGCTTTCTGTCACTTGGAAACAAGAGCCCTATCGCACACCAACATCCACACTGACAAGTGTCTTAAAGTCAGAGGCAGTGGACGTCGGGGGACAGAAGACGGGCGCCACGCCGTGCACCCTGATAGATGGGGGTCAGCCCCGAGCCTGCCCTGGGTGAGAGGACTGTTCCCCTCCCAACTCCGACCCCAGGAAAAGAAGCTGCAACTTCAGCCCGGAGTCTGGGCTCGGGGCGCAGAGAGGGGCCGCTCATGTTCCAGCTGAGCAAGTGAGCGCCACCTTAGCAGCCAACTTGGCACCGGGATCCCATGTGGGTTGGCAGGGGACTCTTGGCTCCTGCGGGAGAACCAGCATGTGCTCCAGGGAGCTCACTCGGCGCCCCATCTGCGCCTCCCACAGCCAGAGCAGAGCCCTGCGCATTCACTACAGAATTCTTGAGCTCAGCCAGGCATCAAGAGCTTAAAATCGCTCCTTTCAAAGCAAAACCCGTGAGCGTGACAATAAATAACAAAACAGAAAAAAAGACAAGGAAGCAGCCGGAAGACACAGAGAGGATATAAATACCCGACGCTGCCTGGAGAGTTGGACCAGAGTTGTGCAGGGCAGAACCAAAGGCCTGCGCAGGCCAGGAGGCAGCGGCTCCTGCTGAGGATCGGAGTGGTGGTCGTGGGCAAGTGGCACCAGGCCGCCTGGGCGTCAGAACAGAGCGTTCAATCTAACAGTTCCAACGGCAGCGCTGGGCTTTTGCAAAATCATCTCAGGGGCCACTGCCACCCCAGGGACACACGGCCTTCTCCATGCACATGGGGGCTGCGGAGCCTGTGAGGGGAGTTGTTGCCATAGCTACTACATCCTTCTGATGCCAGCAAGGGACCGGTCACCGAGGGCTAGGGCAGGGTGGGCTGGGCAGCCAGAGCACAGGCCAAAGGAGACCAGCGTGCATGGCAGGGCGACGGTCCCCAGCCCCAGGTCACGCAACCCAGAGCGCCCGGCACCGAGGTCAGCTGCAAGGACGGAGAGGGGTCGGGATGGAGCGCTGAGTGCGTCCAACAGCAGAACTGCGGAGCTGCCAGGGCCTCAGCTGGGCCCCAAACTTGGGACTGGGTTGCTGGGAAGCTGCAGAACACGTCACCCAGGGGCATGGCAGGGCACGGCGTGGAGGACCGGCATGGCCAGAGCGTTCGTGGGCTCCCTCCCCACCCTGCAGGTCCAAGAGCAAAGGCCACCACCTGCCGGAAGCACACAGCAGCAGCAGCAGCAGGTGTGGGTCGGGCCGGGGTGCAGCTCCTCTTAGCACCCCAAGGGCAGAAAGAGGCTTGAGACAGAGTGGCAGCTCGCAGGCAGGAAGGGACCCCAGGACCGCGTGGCCCTGGGAGGGACACACCGCACGGGCCTGGAGCCCACATTTAGCCCAGGAAGGAGTGCCCCCCAGCTCCGCGGGGTGGTGGTGCCTTTCGGCACTCACTCAACAGGGTCTGAAGCAGCGCGAGTCTGGCGTCGGGAATCCCTCAGGGCACTGCGACCTCGCGCTGTGTCCGGAGTGGAGCTCCAGCTAGCTGGCCGCTGCCTCCCTTGCCTGCTCAAGGCCCAGGGCGGCCCTGCCCCAACACGGGGACACACACGGCAGCACTGCTAGCAACGTCCGTCAGCACCACTTGGTGAGAACAGTGAGCCACTTCTTCCAAGACCCGGGGATCCGCGCGAGGAGGGCTAAGAGGGGGCACAGGTGGGTGGGGTCTGGGAGAAGTGGGCAGTGTCCAGGTGCTCCCCAGCTTCTGCAGGAGCAGCAGGGCCGTGGGCGCCACCACCCGGACGGCCGTCGCCTCGAGAGCCCCTGCTGCGGCAGCCCTGGCCCACTCCTGCCTCGGCGTGCCCGTTAGGGCGAGAATCGCCTTCCCTGGGCAGCATCCCCGGCTCTCCTGGGTGTACGGGCAGCAGGGCCAGGACATGAGTGAAAGACCCCTCTGTGTCCAGCCTCCCATAGGGTGGCCAGGGGCTCCAGGGGGCCTTGGGGACCCGGGCGGGGAAGGGCCCCAAAGGACCAAGACTGGGACCTTCTGGAGGGAGAGCGGACGCTGTGCAGGAAGGAAACGCATCACATGCAGAGCCTGGGGGTGGCAGTGGACCAAGAGGGCATAAGGTCCATCCATGGGGACTCACGAGAGCCAGCTCCAGGGTGTGACGGGGTGGGGTCCCAGACAGAGCCAGGCTGCAGTGGGGAGACTGAGCAGCTCCGGGCCAGCTCCACAGCAGAGCTGCCTCTGGACCTGATCAGAACCACCTTTGGACCTGGGGACTTTTATCATGGAGGGGGGACAGACATCAGTCTTGAGCCAATCACTGCCCTATTATGGAGGCTTCCCAATCCATGGTCCGGCTCCAGCTTGGAGCTCTGGTCCTAGCTCCAGGCCCTGCACTGGCCATGTGGCACAGCACCCCCTGCCAGGACTCCAGCTACCGCTGTTCCCCAGCGCGTAGCACATGGCATCTCCTCCTCGCTTTGGCCCCCTCCTGTCGGAGTCATCCTGCCAGCACCTCTGATCTGTTCTGTTCATCCCATCTCGGTCCCTGCTGGGGCTTCCCGAGTCCTCCACCCCATATCCACTAGAGCAAGTACCCTGGTGGGCAGGTGTGGCCGCCCTGTCCAGGGTGTCGCTGGGCAGAGTCCAGGGAGGAGTCCAGCCGTGCTCAACTCCCTCTGAAACCTTTTGCAAAGCTGGTTTCTAGAAGGTGGCTGAGCAGGCCTGCCCACGCGTCCAGTCACTTCTCCCCAGGAGAAGGAGAGGAAGCAGCCCCAGTGGACACAGGAGCCAACCAGGAGGAGCACAGAGCTCTTCTCTACCCAGCTTCCCAGGGAGCTGTCTGTTGAGAAACAGTATCCTGCACCCTTGAGGGAGAATGTCTGAATTCCAGCTTCTTATCTGTCTCAGAGGACTGGGTCAATGTGCCCAGGGCCCTGGGTCTGGGTGGTGATGAGGTGACTCCCACCCAAAGCTCCCTCCTGATAACGCAGAGGATATTGCTTCTTGTGGGCAGGAGTCCCTGTGTGCGCTGGACGGTGCCCGCCGCTGTGGACCCAGCCTGATGGAACCTGCCCTCACCTGGGGCCGCAGGCCGGGGCAGGGCACATGCCCGCGTCGCCTGCAACCAGCTGTCATAACCCCTGGTGGGGCACCGTCCCTCACCACAGGGCGGGCCATCCACAACGCATCCTTGCTGGGAAATCAGAGTCCCAGAGGGCCAGGGGTGGGCGAGGGGTGCCCTTGGAGGGCGGGGGAGTCACCTGCCTCATCCTGGCTGGCAGGGGCCAGTGGGCACATGGCTGCCACCAGCACACAGCTGGCCCCAGCTCTGGCTGGTGCTCCCACCCCTCCGCCCCTGACAGGCCCAGGCTGGCTGCAGGGCCCTCGGAGGACAGTAGGGATGCAGTGGGACCCTGGAGGTGAAGCCGGTGAGTGTGCTCTGGCTGTTGGGCAGCCCACCCGCCCCGTCGGAGGCCCTTCCCGCCATGGGCAGTCGGCAGGACCGGCTGATGACAGACGGCCAGCAGAGGGGACCCCGGGCCTCCATCCAGCAGCCAGGGACCTCACGGCCACCCAGCTGCCCTGGCCCTCTTCTGCTCCTGCCTCCTCCCCTTTCCTCCTGTCTGCTTGGCTTGCTCTCTTTGCTAATGAGATCGTGCTGAAAGCACCACCCTGCAGCCTCGTTTCTCCACCACACAGACTCGGCCTGCAGACAACAGAGACGGCACAGGGGCCTCTGAGGGGCCACTGGAGACCCAGCCACGCTCAGGATGGGCTCTGTAACCCACGTCCCACTCACCCCACTGCAAAACGCAGCCCAGCCCCTCCCTTGGACCTGCATCCCGCATCTCCCAAAGGGCATGTCCCCGGGGGTGGCCGCCTCTCTGTGCCCTTCTGGGGTGGTTCGCATTGTGCTGGCTTCCCTGCCCCAGCCAGCCGCGGTCAGAGTGCCCTTCGCCCTACGACTGGCCCGGCTACTCCAGAGCACAGAGGGCAGAAAAGGCCAGGAGCCTCGCTTGTGAGGGGAGAAGGGAGGGGCAGAGAGGGGGATCTGAGCCTTCGAGGCGAGGGCAGCCCCACGGTACCCCAGGGCCCCGGCCCCCGACCCAGCTCACCTTCTGCAGTAGCTCGATCTCCTGCTGCTTGGCATTGAGGATGGCCAGGGCCTGCTCATGCTCCAACTCCAGCTGCTGCCTCCGCTCCGCAGCCTCGCGCATGTGCTGGGGGACAGGGGTCCTGAGTGCCCCGAGCCAGGCGCCCGCCACCCCTCCACCCAGCTGCTGCCCCAGGATCGCCAGGCACAGGGAAGCCACCTCCTCTCGGCAGCCGGGCTCTTCCTCGGGAGCTGAGGCTCGGGGAACCCGGGCCCAGCCAGGCTCCCGCCCCTGCTCTGCTTTTTATATCTTCTGGGCTGAGCGTGAGCACAACTCAGATCCCCGCAAAGACGGAGCCTTCTCCTTCGCTGTCGGAAACGTGCCGCCTCCCCAGTTTGCCCCAGAAGTTTGCAAAGGGGAGGCCATCAGCTCCCTGAGCCCGGCTGGGCTGCCCACCTGTGCAGCCCACCACCTCCCTCCACTGCCACACCGGCCACATCCGCACTGGCGCCCGGCCAGGGACAGCCTCGAGGACGGGCAGCGTGACAAGAGGGGACGTCCCACGGGAAGTTCCGCGGGAAGCCTGTCAGGACACACGTCGAAGGTCACCCGTGCAGGGCAATTCAAATTCAATGTCCATTTCCTTTATTTCTTAGATCATAATGTATGTAAAAGGTAACCTCGAGACCAACCTTTTAAAACTGGATCATTTACCCACAAATCCCAAGTCCTTCAAAAATAGGAAGAGCCCCGTTCCTAGTGCCTGGGAACCCAGAACTCCCGTCCACCTGTCCCGGCCCTGCCCTGGGGTCACAACCATGGCTGTGTTTATGGAGGGGACCTTGGCCTGCCTTGGACGGGCCAGTGATTCACCTCTATTCATCTGTTATTTCACAATTCCACTGACTTCCAGTCTCACTGATCTTACTGCGGTTGCATTGGGGTCTTAGAGCAGCCCCAGAGTCACGAGACAGTGGCACGGCCTGCGGAGAGGACAGGGCATACCCGCTCCTCCTGTCACTGTCCCAGGTCTCCCTGCCCGCCGCCCAGCGCCCCTCTCCCGGGGAGACTCACAGCTGAGCACTGTACCGGGGTGGACGGGCAGAGCCCCGCATCCCCAGCCGTGTGGCAAGGGGCTCGTGGTCCACTGCTGCTTTGCTTTCACAGCAACATCCGCCCCTGGCCGGGTGTGAGGGGCCCCGCATCTCCTCTGCTGCCTCCCGAGAGCCCCAAGCTACAATCACCCTGCTGCTCGGCGGTGGCAGACAAGTGGGGGTTTTGCTGTTGCTATGGAAACTCTCAAGGAACCTGGGATGCTGGGAAAACAACTCCCTAAAATATGATCTGAACCCCACAAAACACAGCTGACCCCGTCGGTTACTCCAGCTGGCTTACGCCAGGATGGGCAGGACGGACGCAAGGTGCCCCTTGGCACCCTGATGCCAAAGCGCTCAGCTCAGCTCCCTGCCTCTGACCCCTGCACAGTCCCATCTCCGACAACACAGGCCCGGTCCGATGCTCATGCCATGCAGACAGCTGTCCTTGCTGCGCCCGGGGAGCAAGGGCCAGGGAGAACCCGCCGTGCCCAGGGCAGGTGATGGTTTCATCCGAATGCTGCGCTGGACGGCTGGTCGATCGTGGACAGGGACCCCAGGCACAAGGGTGGCTGCAGTCCCACAGCTCCAGACTGCAGCTCGAGCCCAGCAGCCCCGCTGCCTGGACTTGCCGCCCTCCAGGCCCGCGAGCCACGGTCAGCAGCCTGGGCCCGGCAGCTCCTAGGGAGCTCTTGGTGACGGCCTTAGTGTGCCTCACAGCACTGGGTGTCCCCAGGGCACAGGGGGACAAGCCCCCCACAGCGGGCTCTGGATTGTCCCCCAGGCCCTGATGAGGGGGCGGCAACACAGCTGGTCAAATGCGGACTGCACCCAGGCCAGGCACCCGCCACATCCACAGCTGCTCACTCAACGCTGAGCTGCTTTACAGCTCAGAGAGGCTGAGCACTTGCTCAGGACCACACAGCTCGAGTGCAGCAGCCCCGGATACCTGGACCGCATCCCAAGAGCGCGAACTCAGGCCCGGCACCTTCCCGGCGGCTGCCCCTCTCTGGCCCTGGCCAGAACCAGCCTGGAGCACCTGGTTCTCATTAAACCCAGGAGGGGCCGGGGCAAGGCCGCTCCTCGCCACCATCTGACACCCAAGTGCGGCCCAGCCTCTTCACTTAGGGCCAGAAGGAAGTCACCGGGAAGAGGGGGAGGCCGCTCCTCAGAAGGCTGCGCCAGGAACGCGGGACCTGCAAAGCGCCACAGGTCAGCCAGGACAGACGCGGGCCTCCCTGGTGAGGTGCCGGGGACATGGGCCAGAGGCTTGGAAGCAGACGCCCCCAGGGCCGGCCGGGGATGGTCACCAGGCACCCCAGCTGGGGCCTGGTGCACAGGAGGTGTCCCGGCCTGTGCCCTCCTACCCCACTGCCCTGGAACCCTGCTGGTGCCGGGCCACGTCACCCCTGCCTGCAGGAAGCTCGCACAAGGAAGTCTTGCTTTTCCTCCTCAAAGAGCACCTGAGGCTTCTCTTCCCGTCTCAGTGAACGCAGGCCTCGCCCCCGCAGCCGCTTTTCGCAGGCTGCTGACTGTTCCCTGACCCGCCTGCTCTGCACCCAGATCTTCAGGCGCCTGGACCCAAGCCTCCCGACCTCCAAGGCTTCTGCCACGTCCCGTTGCCCCTGGGCGAGCATGAACCCGCCACCGCCATGACGTCCACCCTGCCTGTCCCACTCCGCAACCTCTGCGGTGGCGTCCCGCAGGGCACGCAGCGGCCGACGGCTGGGGAGGGAACCCAGGCCCCTGACCAGTGGGCAGGACCCTGCCTCTCGCTCACTGCGGGGTCGCACACCATTTCCACCCCCAGCCCTGCCCAACAGTCTCCATGGTGCTGTACTGATTCACAGGTTTAGTCAGCCCACACCGAAGAACCCGATGGCCTGGCTCAAGACCAGGCCAAAGACGCAGCCGGGACGGGGCCCTGAGCAGCCCGCCCGCCCTCCCCTGCATCCTTAGCCTGCACCTCACAGCGCGAACCACTCTGCAGCCGCACTGGAGCCAGCTCAGCCTGAGCAGCCCCACCCCGGAACCAGCCACACTTGTTCCTTCCCAGCCCTCGGGAGCCAGATGCTGGCCAAATAGAATCCAGCCAGCAGCTGCGGTGGAGACCAGAGCAAGCCCAGCCTGGTGACCTAGCAACTTAGCAAGGGACTTGTCAAAAAGTAAAAGTAAAAATAAAAATAAAAAGCGTTGGGGACGTTGCTCAGTGCAAAGGCCCCAGGTTCAATCCCCAGAACCGTAAAATAAACCAAGGAATTCTGTTTCCTTAAAATGGCTTGATAGAGGTGTCACTTTTATCCACAATGATCCCAATGCAAGCGTCTTTGACAGAGTTTACAACTGTCACAAACCTTCATTCTACAAAGTCTCGTGTCACAGGTGGAAGCTTCGTGAGTTTTGGGTGTTCTCTCTTAAGACAGGAACACTGGAAATCAGGAAGCTTTTCAACTCCCTGTTTTGGGGAACAAATTCCCGAGAGCCCCAGGAGGTTCCCAGGGGGACAGGGACAGGGACCCTTTCCCCACGGAGCAGGGTGAGGACGCGGGGCAGGCACACACAGGGAGCTGGGGCCCCGAGTCACAGTGTGCAGTGGCTCAGCCGGCAGAAGGGCTGCGGCCACCCCTCCAAGGGACAGGTCTCCTTGGGGCCTGGGTTCCCGGCCCCAGGGAAGCAGCCCCTTCCCAAGTGCCACGGGCGAAGCTCAAGGCCAAGAGTCCAGCCCCAGAAACCGGACAGCCCTCAGGGGCAGCGAGCTGAACAGCCAGGGCGAGGAGTAGAGCACCTTAGCCAATCCGGACGGGGCAGTGCTCAGTCAGGGCACTGACGGGGAGAGGCCTGGGCACGCGGCAGGAGCCCCTTGTTTACCACCACAGCTGTGGACGTCAGAGCCCTTCCGGCTGTCAGCAAGGCCGGCATGGTGGCCCCACCCCGCCCAGACCAGCACCTACTGCTTCCCTAAGACTTAGGTATACTAAGCCCTGGAGGTGCTGAGCGCTAAGTACCGAACATGTGGAAGCCATGTGACTTTGTGGCACCCTGATACAGTGAGATATTCATTCCCAGGGGCCACGAGAGGCCTTGGGACTGGTCCAGGGTGTGCATGGTGCACACAGCCAAGGCGGGACGTGAACCAGGAGGGACAGGCCCCCCCAGCTGCACAAGCAGCCTCCACTCACTGAGACTTCTGTGGGCCTCCGTGGTGTGGGATGAGCCAACCCTTGGGGGGACCTTCGGCACGGCCATCCCTGCACAGGCCTTCGCGGGGCCTGGGGTGACCCCGCCTCCCTTCTGGGTCTCCTGCCCCTCGGGGAGGCACGCACCACACACGAGGCCAGCAGGAGCCACCTGCACCCTCCGGGGGCGGCTGGCACCCCACGCACAAGACTTCCAAATGGTCACCATGCTCGTGTCCCTGCGAGCAGCTGGCCCAGGACCTCGGGGTGATGCTGAAGCCTGCATTTCACCCCAGGCAGAATCTCACCCCCAGTCCCCTCTGGAAAGCTCCCATCTCGGCAACACCAGGGAGCATGCCCCACAGCCAACACGCCCCATGCATGCCACGCCTAAGGCAAGCTTATTTTTAAAGCGGTGGTATTTATAGCCGGATGTTGACACGGCGCCGCGTAAGCAGCCTGCAAATGTCAAGGGGCGGCTTCCCAGCTGGGTGCTGCTTGCTGCGGAAGGGCTGAGCCCAGCCCTCCTCTGAGATCAGAGCTGGGTCCAGCCCCGGCCCTGCTGTGAGCGGCCACAGAGCAAGCGAGCGAGCAAGGATGCAGACCTCACTGCCTCCCTCCGCAGGACTCCACAGCACGGCATTGGGGGTCACTCCCATGAGACCCGCTCACACCAGCAGCAGCAGCAGCAGCAGCGAGCTGCTCGGTGCACATGGTTTCCTTCTCCAGGATCCTGGGGAGGGCACGTGAGGACTGAGTCGTGTCTTCAGACACAAGTCCGGATGGAGCGAGCTATTTTGGGTGGCATCTTCCTGTCCCGTGCATGTGTCAGAGCCATCCATCAGCCAGGCGAGGGAAGGAGTCACAAGAATCCTTGGAGCTGGAAAGCATTTAGGCAAAGGTCTCCAAATTTCTCAGATAGAAAAAGTCGGCAAGGCACCCCTTCAAAAGGCCAGGCGCCCGATTCCCGGCTGCCCTCCTCCCAGCTGCCGGACAGTGGCCCTCGCCCCATGTCAGGACACTGCCGGTCACCCACACCCTCGCTGTGCCCCGGCAGGTCCCGGCATGCCCAGGGACAGGGCCACAGGAGGAGGTCGGCCTGCCCGCGTGCCAGTCACCCCCAGGCCAAGTCACGCACCTCTGAGCCTCAGTTTCCTCGTTTATCGAGTGGCACGGCTGATGCGGGAGCAGGTGAGACACAAGCCCACAGCAGGCACAGGGCGATCATGCCCCGTCCACACCAGAGTGTCCATCGGGCAGCCACTCTGCGGCTGCTGTCTGCCTTCCCATGTCCACTCTTCCATTTCCCCTTCCCTGTTTCTTCTGAGTTTTAGCGTGGCGTCGTCATGCATCCCTGGTGTTTCTGGCGTGTTTCCATGGATCTCTCAGTGGCTGCTCCACGCGTCTCGATGTACATGTTGAGTTTGAATAATCGACGCAGAACGCAGGCCTGCTGCTGTGAGCGCCTGCCTGTCCCAGTCTGCACTGGCCCTTTACGAGGTACAGTGGACCCTTGACTTAAGAACTCAGTTTGCTCCTGAGGACTGGCTGTAACGCAGGTTGGTCAGTGGAGGCTCAGGCTCTACGCAGCCTTCAGAGTCTCTCCTGCACACAGGTGGATCTCGGTGTCCTTAGAGACCCTGGCCCAGGATTTCTCAGCGAACCCCACACAGGAAAGGATGCTGTCCTGCTCCTTCCAGAACTCTGTAAGGGTTAAATCTGTACCTGAGACCATCTGCAAGCACAAGCGGCTGGCATTTGGGTCGTAACTCAAGACTCTGATCCTAAGTTAAAAACTAAGATTCTGGTCGCAACCCAAGTTGTTTGTATGTCTGGCCGGTCGTAACTTGAGGGTCCACTGTATTTTCTTTCACATTGCATCCGCAGGCGCCAAGCTCGGCGGGGCAGCAGCACAGCTCCCTTGATCCCCCCACGTGTGTCAAATCCAAGAGGAGAGAAAAGCATCTGTGGTCGCCGGGCCCCCCGCCCTGCTCTGCCCTCTGTGTCTCCCCCGTCCGCTCTCACTGGGCGCATGGAGGCAGCAACAGACACACCACAGACAAAGCTGAGTGGCCCGCACGCTGGTGAGGCTCACAGCCAGGGAAGATGAGCCATCAGGCAAGGACAGGCCCAGCAGGGCAGGTGAGGGGCGGGGCCACACACTGCGGCTCCGGTGCCCCTTCTGGCCGGCTGTCCAGCCAGTGCCGGGACTACGGGCAGAGTGCTGGAAAGGTGGTCCAAGTCCCCTGCCCAGGAACCACCTGGGAGGTCCAGTCCCTGAGCGGCGGCTGGAGGACCGGTGGCCCCTGCAGGTGTCCTGCATGGCCGTCTGTGTGTGAGAGGCCCTGGGAGGGCCAGGACCATGCCACTGTGTCCCCTCGTGGTCAGGACAGACGTCCTACCCGAGGCGCAGTACAGCCGGCTGCTCCCGGAGGCCCCAAGGGAGCAGCATCCTCACTGCCCTCCGGCCAGTGACCCTTGGCTCCTTCGCCTGTCAACGCCTCTCCCCATTTCAGCTGTGTCTTCTGCTCCCCTGTGACTCGGCCCCTCCCTGAGGACCCAGTCGCTGGGCAGGTCACTGTGCTCCAGAACGACTGCACTCACCCGGTCACCGCTGCAAAGGGCCTGTCCCCAAATCAGCCAGGCGCACCCGCTGTGCCACTCACTGCCCCACGGAGGGACCACTGGCATCTCAGCCGTCCCCTTGAGGCCCATGGGCTCTGGGAAGCAGACTGGGCTGCAGCACCCTGCCCATCCTGCTCTGCACCCCACTGGGTGCGTAGGTCTTCGTCCAGCAGACAGGGGCCCCAGGACGCAGGCACCCCTTCTGGACGACGAGCAGGATGGAGACAAGTGGCCTGTCGGTGCTGTCTGGAAACAGAAGCCACTGAGCGGCTGGGCCCAGCAGGCTGATGACCAGCTCAGTCGCCACGCCAGGGCCACGATCTCGCTGCATTAGCACAGGACAGGCTTCTACACCACTGAACGTCAGGACTCAGCACAGGGTGGCAGGTGTGGAGTCACACAGTTCCGACGACTGTGGCCACCAGGCATTTGAACGAACAGGAGCCGTGGGAGAACGCCACACTTCAACCCCAGGGAGCTGCTGTCACCCGAGCGCTGGTGCCGCTTTCCTGGTGACAGTGAGGACCCCAGGCCATGGTCACTGCCACCAACGGAAGCCATCACCACCCCGGCGCCTGTCCCGGTGCTCGGAGTGTGCCCAGCCCACCTGGCCCCAGCTCACCCCAACCGGATGCCAGGGTCCCAGCCCCGCCCGCTGCCCACGCACCTCCAAGCTAGCACCCCGTCACCTCCCAAGGAGCCCAGACCAGAGCCTCTCACCCCAGGCCCTGCCTGGAGGAAGCCACGGGCATCTCGGGTCTGGACCCTCCCTTGCCACTGCACGGCCTCTGCTCCTGTCCCCCATTTCCCTCCACGTGGCCACAGCCTGAACCCCTGCAGGCTTGGGCCAGGAGTGGCCGTTGGCGGCCTGTTTGATGAGTGTGCTCGCTGTCCCCGGACTCACTTGGCAGCAGAGTGGGCAGCGCCAGACCCGAAGTTCAGCACACACTGTTCAAGAGCTCAGGGTCCCAGCAGCCACTCAGAAGGCAAGTGACCAAAGCAACACACATGCTACGGAGCAGCCTGGAGGTAACTACTGTGTTATGTTTTTTTAATTTCCCACAAGAATCCAATAAACGTTTTAACATTCAAAAAAAATGAAATGCTAAAGATCAATTCAGCTTAACCCTACCACATGCACAGCAACTCAACCCCCATTAAATAAGAAAGGGGACTGGACTCATCGGGAATTCGTGAGGAACACCCAATTGCCTGCCTGCCAATCAAGCAATTCTCTGATTGGGCCATTCCCTTGATAACCAAGGCTGTTAAACACCTGAGGAGCAGCTTAAAATTCATGAAGTTTGAAAAACCAACCCCGACACTCTGGGCTTTAACTGAAGTTGGCTCCATTTCCATTCCAGAGTGCTGCCGGCCACCCTCCGCTCAGCTGTGTTTAACATCCTCAGAAATGGAAATGTATAATTGGCTTTGCGGGATTGCTTCCAGAAACATGCAAATTTTGTTATTTATTGCTTTTTATACCATCAAAAGGGTAAAAACAGCCCGAGAGCCCTGAATTTTGATGAAGCCTTCAGAATGGCTTTGGCTACTTCTGCTCTGGAATCCGCAGCCCCCTCCTCCCACTGGCTGCCAGCATGGTCACTGTCTCCAAGTGCGAGCCAGCCTACCTTCAGGACCTGTTCTAGGTTCTCCAGCTTGGCGTGGGGCTGGTGTTTCTGCTTCACGCCAAATCGAGCTGTCCGTTCACCACGGTGAGCCTGTGGCTGGGCTGGGCATGCTCCGTCTTTACCTAGCAGCAGAAGCAAAGGGGAAACAGGCTGTTACCACCTGCCTAGGAACCAGGATGGGCACCGGGCCCAGCTGGTACCTGTTGTTCCTTCTGCAGGAGCAAGAGTGCTGACTTCCTGCTGGAGAGTCTTCCCCGCCTCATTCTCCATCATGGACTTCGTGGGGCACCACGCATGCAGGGCACGGCCACATGTGACCCTGCCTGGCCAATCAGCACGTGGGCTCCTTTTTTATCCCACTCACTTCCACCACAACTATAGCAGTTGGTTCGTGCCTGGCCAATCTGTGCAGTCCTATCCCTAGGATATCAGGGAGGTCATGTGACCCAATCACATCCCTACAGCCTCGTATAAAGGCAGCTGTCTTGCCCTCTGGACTTGGAAAGTGGAGGACAGAAATGGGAGCTTCCGTGCCATTTGTCATCATGAATGAAGAACCCATCTGAGCACAAAGGCATTGAGACGGAGGCGGAGCCCAGAGCTACAGAAGGAAAGGCGGGGTCCTGGAGGGATCACCTGCAGCCCTAGATCAAGCCTACGAGAAGCTGGTTAAGATGATCCAGTTACTCAGGCCCTCTGCAGACCCCAGCTCGAACCGTCTGTCCTTTCTACCCGGGGCAGTCCTAACAGCTGCACACCTGGTGCTCAAAGTGTGTAAGCACACCCATTATTCTGCCTAGAAGGCCAGCAGGACCCCACGTGTGTCAGCCCTGCCTCCCCGGTGGTCTTGAGCCTACTGTTCCACCTTCGGCCACAGCCCTAGAGGGACCTGTGGTCCTTGTCTTTCTGTGGCCTCCTCAGAGCAAGGGCCGCTCCCACTCGATGGCCCACGCCCCGTCACGTCACAGAGGAACCGACCCGTCTCCACCTAGCAGCGGCCTTCTCGTTCCCTTCCCTCCCGCAGCACCAGACATGCGTCACGGCTCCGGACACTCGGCCCCCTCTGCTGCAGCGACACGGGCGAGGTCTAACCTCGGCTCTGTGGTGCGGGAAGTGCACGTGCAGGCAGGCTCCTGAGTGGCAGCCATTCCAGGGTCACAGAGAGGCCTTTCTCTGGGAGCGTTTGGAAGCCACCACACAGTGTGAGGCCTCGGCCCTGAACTTGGGACTCTCCAGATGGGCCTGGGTGTGGATGTCGGCCTCATGAATCTCCTGCATTCCTGCCACTAGAGGGGCTCAGACTCGAGGCCCAACCTCACGCAGACACTGGCCGTACTTGCTGTGGGGCTCATCCCCTCCCCTCTCTCGGCCTGCAACCTCCAGCAGTCCCCATGGAGACCACAGTAAAACCCACACTCCTTTGAGGTCCCCAAGGCTCCACAGGGCCTGGCCCCATCTGCTCCCCATCTGACTGCCAGGTGGACCCACAGACAGGCCGTGCCCATTACTACCCCAGGGCCTTTGCACGTGCAGCCATTGCCAGCCCTGGCCTGCCCACGTCCTCCACTCAGATCCCTGAGCAAGCCTCCCAGCATGGGGGGTAAAGAGCCCCTCGCCACCCATCTGCACCCCTCCTTATTTGCACCCTATTTGTCCCAGGAGGCACTTGGTGGCTGAGGTCACCAGTGTCACTGCAGAGGGGCTCCTCTCGCTGGACCCCTCGTGTCACAGCCTGGAGGGCCTGGCACACTCTCCTGCCTCCCTCGGCTGCCCTGTACCCAGGGTGCACCCGGTCCAGGCAGCGGCTCTGCCCTGGCACCCCTCTTCCGGGCTTTGGGAGACCTGGGCCCAGCACCTGGGTGCAGAGCCGGGTAGAGCAGCAGGGCCGGGGAAGGCGCCCTGTGGGAGCCACTGCCCCTGGGGGAAACAGCCAGCAGCTCAGAGTCCGGGCAGCCTCTGTCCGCCCCCAGCCGGCAGGAGCTCGGCCTCACTGGGCCCCACACTGGCGCTCGGTGCGAGCAGCCTCCGGCCCAGGCCGGGCCTCCTTCGGAAGGGGAGGAGCACTCGGAAGGGCTCCGAGCATCCGTTCAGAGGGACCCGCGTCCTGGCCTGGCCGTAGGGCCGGCAGGACTGCCCACGAGCACGAGCCCTCCTCCCTCCCCCGCTTTCCTCTTTTTCTCTTCAGAACTGGGGATGGAACCTGGCTTCTGCACTGAGCTACATTCTCAGCCCTTTTCTTCATTTCATTTTTTATTTTGAGAAAAGGCCTCGCTAAGCCACCAAGTTGCCCAGACTGGGTGGGAACTTGTGAGCCTCCTGCCTCAGCTTCCTGGAGTGGTGTGTGCTGATTTCCTTTTTTTTTTTTTGCAGAAGGCAGAATCAGTGCTGATATTTAGGTGCCCACCTGCCACTGAGCCTCAAATGTCCTGCTCACCCCTGGGTGCCACCCTTAGGGACGTAATTTCCTCACTGAGGAGGAGGAGGGCTAGTAGCTGCATGCTCCTGTTCACACCTGAGCTTCAGGGCTAGGCCACGCCCTGACAGACCATGGACTCCTGGCCACCAGGGAGGCAGAGTCCTGGGTGGGGGTCCCAGGTAGGAGCTCCCCAGCACCGGCGCCTGTTCCCTGGGCACCACCATGGCTCCCCTGTGACCCTCCCAGGACTCTGCAGCAGCCTCACCGGTGCCTGCGGGACCCAGATGCCCAGCCGAAGGCTCAGCAGTCACCCTGTGCGGGCTCCAGAGGAGCTGCAGGCCACAGCTCCAAGCACCAAAACTAAGAGCTCTGATCAAGGCATATGCTCTGAAAACCAGAGGGCAAGTCCAAGCAGGGGTCACAAGGACCCATCACCCTCCTGCGTCAGTCTGGGGCCGGGCCCTGTGTCCCTGTAGGCTTGTGCTAAACGCTCTCCTTGGTATGACCTCACGCACATGCCACCTGTGCAGTGACCTGGGACACGAGGACACATGGCCCATGGCTATGCAGTCCAGGCTGGCCTCAAACTCATAGAGATCCTCCTGCCTCGGCCTGAGTGCTGGGATTACCGGTGTGTCCACCAGGCCCGGCTGTTTTCACCGTGTCCAAGGTTGTGATTCTATGGCACCATCCCTGCCCCACATTAAAACCCTGTCCGCGGTAAACAGTGAACCCCGAGTGTGTCGACACTAGCAGCTTCCAGTGCTTGCGGCCCTGCGGGATTCGTCCTCTGTGGCTGACTCGTTTCTCTTGCCATCATGGCGGGATTGGAACCCTCTTCCCTCTGGGCACCAGGGAATGCTCTGCTTTGCATCTACACCGCGTGTCTATGCTACCCTTTCCTCACCCACTTACCACTGCTGGCCACGGGCTGCTCCCACAGCCCTCTGCGACCCCCAGCCGCTGCCCTGGGTCTGCACCCAGTGACGCCGTCCACGCACTTGGAGGGGCTCGGGGTCTGCACCTCGCTGCTCCTGGGCTCTCACCCCATCCCGCCACCCCCAGTTTTCTGAAAAACATCTTAAAAACCACCAAGCAGAAAAAAACACCCGCCGAGCAGGAGGGAGAAGAGCAGAGCCAACCCAGACACATCCGGTTTCCAGGAGGAACTGGCGTGGCTGCCCTGGGCGGGGGGGGGGGGGGGGCGCAGGAGGAGCTGGGACAGCACAGGCTCCCGCAGCCCGATGCCTACTCTCCGCGGTGCTCGAGGTCAGGGACAGTGGTGACAGCTAAGCCTTGGGACAGCACAGCCGGGACGGTGACGCCAGCACCCAGGCGAGGCCACATGGAGCGGAGGTTCCAGGTGGCCAGCGGCACCCCCCCCCCCCTGAGGCCACTTTGAAGCCGGGCTCCGGAGGAGGCTGACACTCTCCAAGCCCAGACCCTATGGAGGGCGGAGCAGGTCAGTGGTCAGGGTCAGCACGGCGGGGCTCCCTGGGAGAGTCCGGGGACAGGACAGGCCACAGCCCAGGGCCGCCATGGGCGCAGACAGCCAAGGGCAGAGTGGTGACCAGAGAGGGGAGGGACCGACATCCTCCTGTCCGGGCCGGAGCTGCAGGGCGGGCCCAGCACCCTTCCCTGGGTGAGGGCAGAGGCACAGATGGCAAGGGCTACATCTGGCCTCTTGTTAAGGACGAAGGGTCACGAGTTCAAATCTCACCTGGGTAACTTAGCAAATAAAACAAAAAAGGGCTAGCTCAGTGCAAAGGCCTTGCATTCAATACTCAGCACTGAAAGATGATAGACTGGCAGCGACTCTCCCTCCCCTCCCTCCCAGGGTGTGGGTACCTGGTCATGCTGCAGGAGGAAGGCCTCGAGGAAGGCCTGCACCTGGGCCTCAGGCCGCGCTCTCTCCGGCCAGCAGCATCTTCAGTTCATTGTCCTGGGGCAAAAGAAAGGGCACTGTGAGTCCGGCTCTGCTCTGCAGGTCGGGGCAGCCTCCAGGTGAGAGAGCTCCAGTCGGAAGCTGGGCCCGGGGCAGGCGTGGCCCTGCATACTCCTAGCCAGGGGACTCAGGACTGCTGTCCGGGGATACCTGGCACTATGGGAAGAGAAGAAAATGCTTCACCCTGAGTGCTGGCTGCTGGAGGAAGGTGCTGTCTTCCCCCAAGTCCTGGGAGTCATAGCAAAGTTCTCATCCATCACTTTGTTTTTATTCTGCCTCCTTGGCTCGAGGTCAGTTGTTTAACCAGATGAAATCAACCTTGCCAAAAAGCTCAGGATCTAAACCCAGAGTGAGAGATGCTGATCCAAGCCACAGCCAAGCAAAGGGAGACAGAGGTACAGTCTCGGCCCAGCACTGCCCTGCGATGCATCCAGGATGAACTGGTGCAGCAGTGCCACCTCTCACCCCGCCAGCAGTGGCCACGGAGATGCGGGTGGCAGCGCCCTCAGAACCAGCCGGCCCGGCACTGCGATGCTTGGCAAGCCCTGGCTCTCCTTGCGCACCCTGAGGGGTCTCGGGGCGGGCTATGCAACCCACCCAGCAAAGCCAACTTGGGCAGGTGGCCTGGGGGGAGATGCAGTGTAGCTGACGCCCACCCCTCTGCTCCGAGGAAGGTGTGGCAGTGGAAGACCTGCTCACCACTGTCACCCAGCAGGACAGAGCTATCCACCCAGGGTAGCGGCCAGGTTCCAGCTCAGTGGAGCCTTCCCAGCCCCAGCACTGCCTGGGAAACACCAGCAGAGCCCGGGTCCACGGCCTCAGAGACACGGCTGCAAGTCACAATATGACAAAGCGGGTCCCCGACATGGCCACAGCAGCACCTCCGACGACAGTGCTGGGAGTGGATTGGCAGACATGACACCCACCCAGGTCAGCCGTGGGCACACGTGGACCCCAGCTGCAGTTTGCCATGCTGACACTGAGCACAACCTGGGCCCAGTGGCCGAATCCCAGGGCACATCCACAGCCCGGAGAGGGCGTCTGGGTGCCACCACCGTGCACTGCGCTCAGTCTCAGGACCCAAGCGATGCGAAGTCAGCAGCCCGGCCCGAGCCTCTTCCCTCCCTTGGGATTTGGCAGCCTTCCTTCCGGAGGGGAGTCTTCAGCAATGCAGAGAGCTGTAGCCTTAGATCCTTAGGTTTAAAACCACGAGAAATAAGCGGGCTTCGGACTCACCAGGTGCAGATGCATCGAGAGCCAGGCTTCCTGCTGAGGCCAGGACGCAGCCTGCGGGATCTAACCGTCCACCCGGTGGGAGGATTGGGTGCGGCCGACCTCACCTGATGGACGGAGGGACGGATGGACACGGGCCCTGGCACTGGCTCCAGGCCAGCCGACCGAGACTCTGGGCCTGGCGCTCACTCCCTGGGCAGCTTGAGGGGTGTGGGTGAGGAGACCTTGCCCATTCACAGGCAGCGACGCACACGTAAGGAATGGCGTACCTGGGTTTCTTGGCCTCTTTCGGCAAAACGATGGGCAAGAGGTAAACATGCGACAGAGGGGAAGTCGGGAGCAAACATTTCACGGCAGATGAGCCAGGGGCCGGAAGGACGGCCAGGAGTGCCGGGGACAGGCACCCAGTCCTCCTCCTGGGGGCCCTGCGGACAGAGCCCTCCCCGTGACAGCCAAGTGACAGCCAGGCGCCTGTCCCCTCCCAGAAGCCAGGCAGGTCCTGCTTGTCCTGGCCTTCCAGAGTGACTTCTGCGGCCAGACCCTGGGCTCTGCACCCATGCTTTGCCAACCCCGAGCCTTGTGGCAAGTTACAGACACCATCTCCACCCCAGCAAGGACCCCAGGTCACCCGCGCTGAGGTGGTTCAGGTCAGGACTCCACAGAGGAGAAGGGAACCCCGCAGGGAGCAAGGGCACACAGGGCACCCGGCCACTGGCAGGACCTCGCTCTGCGCGCAGCCCGCCAGCCGCTGCCCCAGACAGGGATGTGTCAATCACAGCTCTGTTAATGCACAGCCTCCCAGGACGCCTTGCACATGACACAGCGATGTGGATACCTAAGTGCCTTTTTGAAGGAGCGTTTGTGTCTGGGGTACACGATCTGAGGGCACTGTTTGCAGCAGTGCTGGGTGGGCCAGGCCCAGGGAGGTGGCTCGGTGCCAGCCTGTTATGGAGGAGGCCGGGGAGGGACAGCCCCTGGGCCCAGAGCAGCAGCGTGGCCTGGAGGCACCCACCCTGCGTTTTCCACAGAGATGGGAGGTCAGAGGCGCGGCCCTCAGTGTGTGCCCACTGAGAGGCCCTCAGCAGCCCCCGAGAGGCTCCCCGTCCCCTCCTGTCCCTTCCCCTCCTCGACGCCGCTGTCGGGGACCTCACCCTACCTCCTGCCGTCAGGTTACCCCACGGCGCTGCCCAGTCCCGGGTGCCTCCCCCGGCCCACAGCTCCCAGCTGTCTCCAGCATAGCTGGGCACCCCTGGGTCGCCCTCCACCCCAAGATGCAGGGGGCCAGGGGTGGTCAGGACCTCCTAGGCCCCAGGCAGACACCAAAGCCCTGAGCCAGGACAAGGTGCCACCGGGACACACCCAGCTCAGAATGTGAGGCACCCTCGGGGGAAAGCGTGGCGCCGTCTGGGGCCCGGAAGGAGCCCTGCACCCCGGCTGTGTCCCTGCATGGCTGCTGTCACCCTGCCACGGCGCCCGAGGCCAGGGCTGGCTCTGACAGGGTCAACGGCCTGACAGTCTGCACTGCTGATCTGCTTCTCTGGCTCCTGGCACCACGAAGGGGGCGTAGGCTCATGGACAGACTCGGTGCCATCCTCAGCACTAGGAAGGAAATGTTCTGCAGGCAAACAGTTAAACACAGCCTCGTAAACAACGCAGAGGGCTCGGCTCTGACGGCTGGCACGGCACTGCTCCGGGGGAGGCCGGGCCCCTGGGGAACACCAGGCCCCTGCAGTCACTGGGCTGTGAGCAGCTCTCCCTGCCCACTGCCCTCCACCAGGGTGAGGGACACACAGGCACACAAGGCCAGACCAGAGGGCTCGAGGAGGAGCAAGCAACCCAGCCAAGGGCAAAGTTTAGTTCACTTCCCCGGGCAACTGCTTTCCATTCAATTCCTCATCCGCCGGTACTTCAAAATCAGAACAATTTGTGTCGAAAATCTGAGCATGGGCTCCTCATGTTCCAGAGGAGCTGGCGGCCCCCCAAATCACCCCTGCCGGGAGGAGGGCAGCAGCCCGAGGGGCCCCCTCTGACCCCCGCCAGCCCGGGGTCCCCATACTGAGGGCGCCAAGGGGCCCTGCTCATGCCAAGCACACTTGTGACGGCTCCCGCACCAGGAAACACCTCCCTCAGCAGTCTCCACACCAGCGTGGACAGGGAGCCAGCTCCCGAGACGCAGTCCCAGCTGCGCCCCTAAGTGACGGTGTTTCTCCTGCAGCACACTCCGAGCAGCAGCAGCCGGGCTCTTGAGGCTGAGCGAGCGTGTGCTGGCGTGGACAGCATCCTCCGAGCTCAGGGTTGCCTTCGATTGCGTAGAGGAAAAGACTGGAGGAGAATCTCTTGGCACGCGTGTGTGGCTGTTCATAAACACGCAGCCCTGACATGCAGGTAGGAGCTGTGTTGCAGGCCAGGGCACCACAGTGTGGAGCAGAGCTCCACGGGGTGCCAAAGTCCCCTGGCAGCAGGGTCCCCTGGGAGGACTCAGACCGAGGAGGCCTAGGTGGCGGCAGGGCAGGGACAGCACTGCTCCAGGGGGAGAAGGGAAAGAAAACCCCACTTCACAGCCCCAGGCCGACCCTGAGGCAGGGATTTGGGATGACTCATCTGGATGCCAGGGACCTTCAGGGAAAGCAGTCTCAGGAAAGCCCTGCATGCTGCTGCACCCTGCTCCGTCCTGCTCCGTCCTGCTCCCAGACACACTCCCTTTGCTTCCCTGCGAGCTTGGACCAGAGACTTGTTAGGTTCTGGAAAGACTCCTGGAGGTCTCAGCGGGAGGCCGCTCCCCTCCTCCTGAACCTCTCTCCACCCTGCCTGCCCTGCCTGCGGGCTGAGGACAGGGACTGCCTCGGGGGACTCAGTGCCTCAGTTCGGCCACCCTCCCGAACCACAGACCCGGGGATCCACTGTCAGGCCAAGCACAGTGACGGGCGGGCGGCAAGGGACCCGGGCTTGTTTAACCCCGTCCCGAAAAGGAGCCGCGCAGGCCACACGGAAGCAGGAAGCCAACTCAGGCCGCTTAAACTGAGGCACGGAAGCGGCACACCTTCCCCATCGGAGTTCTCGCCTCCCGCTCCCATGATGTGTCTGGAGGAGCCCCCAGCTCCTGTCTGCAGACCCGATGCGGGGGCCTGTTTAGGGCCGCACCGCCGTGTGCCACTCCGCAGCCTCTCCTTGCTCCTCCACAGCTGAAGGTAAGGGTTGGATCTCCCCGGCCTGCGAGGCTGTAAAACGGCCATGAGTGCTTCCCCACTACTCACTCCCAAAGCACCCTGAGGACTCCGGCTGCCTCTCCAGAGAGGCCTCTCCAGCAAGGCCGCTCCCAGGCCCCACCATGGTCTCTCTTCTGATGGGGTCTACTTGGAGAAGCAGAGGCCGTGCATACAGGGGAAGTTAAAATGCCACAAATGCCACAGCAGCTGGCCCGAGTCATCACCCTCGGGCTGGAGGGCACAGGGACTCGGAGCGTTCTGTGGAAGAAGGCACGGTGGTCAGCCGGGACCCAGCGGTAGCCCCCTCGCCTGCTGGCTTCTGTGCTGTCCATTTCTGGTCCCTGGAGCCTGACACAGGACAAGCGCTGTGTCCACCTCATTGATCACGTGATTAGACATGGATGCACAAAGTCACCTCTTGGTCTTGCTCTTTGTGTGCCTGATACCGGGACTGAGCCCCGGGCCTTCACACTGAGCTACGGATCCAGTTCTTTATTTTGAGACAGGGTCTAGCTAAGTTGCTAAGTTACCCAGGCCAGGTTTATACTTGCAACCCTC